TGTTCTTGACTGTGTATTTACTGTTACAAAATTCTTTTCTGAAATGAAAAATGTGAAAGATTTCCTATTATCTACACTGTGATTTATTGCATGCATGGTGTGAAGGAATTGAGATATTTTGATGGCTATTAGTAATATGGGGCCAAGTTTGCTGGCTATACACAAGGTGGGGACTCTCTGATGTATTCATACACCCAAATAATTGCCAGAACTTCTTTTTCTAGTTATTGTACCTTTTCACTGGACAGGACATGATGAAGAGGATGCAGGTCTTTCCATGCCATTGTCATGGTGTCTCTCAGTCCAGGTTTGCTCAGGTTCAATGTGGTCAGAATCAATAAAGTAAAAGATCATCCCAATTTCAGTGAGCATTTTCTTCAGAGGTGCACTTCTTGTCTGTTCTGTGCTGAGGTCTTGAGAAATCACTTGGGAAGTAAACAATGACTAATTTGGACACTTTCAACTGGAAAGTTGTTTAGAAAGCTGTTCATTTCTCTCTCAGTTGGGTTTTATCCTTTCCAGGGAGAGCCAGTAACTGGTGGTGTGAGTCCACCTAAATATGATTTCTGAGGTCTTGGGCCTTAAGTGTTAATACTCTTTGTTCAGTCATCTTTTCTGATGTGGAAATAAAACTTGCACTCAGTATTTGTGTATGTGTGTGCAACTGTGTGTCAAGTGGGAATTGTAGGCTCTCTTTGACATTGACATGGTGCCATACATGTGCCACCAGTACCTTCTCACTTTTAGTAGAATCACATCAGTCTACAAACTCAAAGTAACTAGTGGCATATTCACTGTTACTCCAGAAAAAGCAGGTAAGACATAATCCCTGCACTGCAGGAGGGCAATATACTTCCTAAGAGCTTGGCCTGTTATCTTTCTGCTGTAGCTTTTGTATCACAATAAAAATCATCAATCTGGAACTGAACAGTTTGACAGAATGACTCAGTAGAGCCACAAAATGACAGATGCTAGAAATAAAAAATAAACAAACTGTGCTGGGTCATTGCTGTCAAAACAGGATCCTTCACCTGTTGTTGCTAATGCTTATGCAGTCAGCAGTAGTTTGGGGCCATCTTTTCTGTTCACAGGACGGATTATTGCGATGACTTGAAAATTTGATATGATTTTATTTATTTTCAGAGATTACACATTGCATCTCAGGATGTAACTACAGTGGCAGTCGCCTGCTTTGCTTGCTTTTTCCAGCCTGGTGATCCCAGCCAGTCCTGTGAACCAGCAGGCTTTGTCCCTCTGCTTCAGACCCACTTACAGCATCACTTCTCTTCCCAGCTGTTGGGCTTCCCTTGGCTCTCCGTGTTTGCAACCAAGCCCTCTCCTTGTCCCTTTATGTGAAGCCAGGCACCCCAAAGAAAACCCTCAGACTGTATAGCTTAATTCTTCCCGGACCTGACAGTGCAGCCAGAAGAGTTGGGAGTTACCTGCAGGGGTCTCCAGGCAGTTCATTCAGCCTGAACTGTGCCTTCTGTTTACTCTGTAAAAGGGATGGCTACTGCATATCAGCTTTAATGCTGCCTGTATGTCAAAGCTTTGCTTGATGGCAGCTGTGCCTTCCAACAAAGCAGGTAGAGCACATTGCAGTGTTCTGATCTGCCTGTAAACAGAGCTGATGACATGTCACTGAAAATGATTGTTTGATTATCCAGCGACAGCACAGAAAAGTGGAATGCGTATGCTGAATGGTTTTAGGTGGGAGAAGAATTGGAAGATGCCAAGGAACATGGTGAAGTTTCCTCTTTTGCCTTAGATCAGAGACCATACGGCTCAAACAGCACCCTAGGCTTCTACCAGGGCACTGACTGGTGCTTGGTGCTGCCAGGCATTTTGGGGGTAGGTAGGACAGGAGGAGAAGTCTTTCCATTTTACATTTACTTACTTGATACTCATAATTAAACATTATTTTGCTCAGGAACTTGAATGCAAGGCTATATCTATATTCATAAATTAAGTAGCATCAGAGAACATTCCTAGGCACTGGAGCCCCATCCTCTGTCCTGCTGAATTGTAATGCTGAGGGTAATAGTATGGATGCTGGCTGTTCTGTGCCGGTTGGCATCAGTGCCAGGGACAACCCAGGGCCTATTTGATTTCCTAGTATAGATGCAGCTTCACTTCTTGCCTCCCTGTGAGAATTCTCCCTCATTTGTTCCACAGCTAGTTCGACCCAATACATAGATATAGAACTGAGTGGAAAAGGGGGTCTGAGCATTTGCTACCCAGAAGTCAGGGCAGGGATTTGAATTGAGAACTCCCCTGTTTTCTCATAGAGGGTACCAGTCATCGAACTCTACATGCTTGGTGAGGCAGTTTGGTCTCATTGCAGTGACTCAACTTTTTTATAGTGAACTTTGACTGTATGAGTCAGAGGTACAGGAAGGGTAATCATCCTCCAGCCTGGTGAGAGTGCTTGCTCTTGGGAGGGAAACTCCTGGGCAGTTGTCTCTGCTTGGATCCATGTTCAATAATACATAGGAGATGAGAGCAGACGAAGCATGTAAGTCAGTGTTGAGGTGGTGAGCAATGCAACTTTAGATTCATGTTGTGGCAGGAAGATGAGGGAATTGCAACTTTGGAGCTCATGTTCTGGTTGAGCACTTCTATGCCACAGCTTCTGAAAAGAAGATTTTCAACACTACAAATCTAACCCAACTTTCCTTACATCTTTCCAGAAAAAGAATGTTTGGAAAGCAAAGTGTAAAGGTTGGGTTACATGTAGGACTATATGACTAAGGTAGAGATGGTCATGGTGGGGGATGCTTATTTTTGTGAAAAAGAGGAGAAAAAAAAGAAATGTGATTTGATCCAAATTGGAGGGAGTTTGACTGCTGTATTGCAAAATGGTATTTGTTTCACTGTGCTTAGATCAATAATGTAACAGCAGCCCACCCTTCTCCCTTAGAAAGCTGTCTCACAGGCAGCAGTGAACTGTCTCACATGAGCTAGTACTGGAAGTAATCTAATGGGTCCTGCCTTGTTATGTCCAGAAAAAGCTCACATGTTGACTTTCAGTAGAATCATCAAGAATTGACTTTGGAGAGCCAAAATACAGAACGTTTCTAATAGTTCTCAGCTGGTTTGTATGATTTCTGTAATTATTACCTTCATAAAAATGTACAATGAGATTTTTCTCAAATGATAGACTAAAGCTGTGAAATTTTCCAGTTCACTACAAAAAGAATAGATTTTCCTTCTCTTCAGAGAAGCAAACTATTGACCAGCATTCACAATAGGGAGTAGAAAAGCCTTTGCTCCCTGATTTTTACTGTTTAGAAAACGGGGGTTTACCAGTGCTGTGGCTGAGCAATGTGGAGGGAAGTGGCCTGTCTTGCCTCTGTAGAGTTTTCTGTCTCTCCTCCCTGAAGTCTTTGGGAAGCTGCTTCCAACATAAGGCACTTAGCACTTAAAGGCAGAGCAGAACATCTATCAAACATGGAAAGATCAAAAATTGTGACTCCCTGTGGAGTGACTGTTGGGAGGGAAACAGCTGAATAATGTTGAACATATTCAGATCTCTGACTTCACCTAATGCACACTGTGAAGACTGTGTTTGTAGTCAAATGCTGATTCATTTTTATGGATATGGAAAAGCTTTTGTGCTTCTGCCTTTAAAGGCACTGCTCTATTAGTTGTTTTTCAAGGGAGTGGCAACACTGGTTGTTTCTGCCTTCTCTTAGACAATTATAAGCATAAATGTTAATCTGAAGTATGATTTTTGTTTTACTGTTGAAAAGGCAGGCCTGGCTGTGGAATGGCTTGGGAGGTGGCTTGATGCTTGGTACACTGAAAAAACTTCAGAGCTGACAACAGCACTTAAAAACTCAACTTTCTGAAAAAAAAATCAAGAACCCTAAACCTCAGTGATAATTTGTCCCTTCATGAATATCAAGAGTATTCCCTGGACATGCTCATGCTTAGGAGTCAGGACAAAATCACTGAAACAGCTTACCTCTTCACTTTGAAAAACTCCTCACCCCAGTCTCTGAAATAGTCTTTAAAATTCAGCCCATCCGCTTCTAAAGGTCTGGGTACATGATAGCCTTTCCACACTGCTCGTCACTGGTAGCTTAGCAGGGCCAAGGCTGGAGCACTGCAATGCTCCCAGGCAGATCCCGTGCCACGGGAGGCACAAGGAGATATTCTGTGTCACATGAAGAATCAAACTGCTCCCTCTTCCCAGGGTGATTTCCTCAAGTTTTGATTGTTCTCATGCTCCCAGGAGGACCTTTTTCTGCATTAGCAGGTGGTGATGGATAGAAAATGCAGGTGATATTTCCTTGAATAATTCTTGGTGGGAGTAAATTTATCCTAATAGTAAGTGCAAATACTTTTAAAGTGTTACATGTTCAGTGGCTGTTACATGGTATATGTGCCTGATCTGTGGTGTGGCTTTTCTTATGATGTTTCTGTCCTAGCTTGAAAAACATGTTGTTGCCTCTGAAGAAATCAGAAACCACTTAATTAGCCAAGAACCTTCCACAGTTATTTCTATGATGAGTAGGTTATTGTCTCAGCAGCATCTAACTCAGTGGGAAAAATATCCAAGTGTTAATTTGTTCTCTGGAAATAGCATGACTGGGAATGAGCAGGCAGACAGCATCAAAACAGAATGAAATCTAACATACATGGTTGCTGTTTTATGGAAATAACCTTTCCTTTTCCAAAGACAAAAGTCTTCCACTGCGAGCTGGAAGGTACAAAACAGCTTGACAACACAGCATGTGAATGCATGTCTTTAACATAAGCATAGCTAATATTTTCTATTATTGCTGTGTAGCACTCTCTGGGCAGCAATCAGTTCCATTTAAATGCAATTAATATGAAAGTAGTAGTGTTTCAAATTTCACTCTTGCACATAGTGTCAGGGGGAAAGAATGTTGATATTTTTTTTGTAATAATTTGATAGTAAAATAAAAGGAAAATCTAATTCCTGTGACACTTGCTAGCGCTCTTCTTAATTCTGCACTGTCTGAATTTTTCAGGGTTTTGAAGGTATTCCTGTCCCGAACGGCTCAGCGTATTCCATATATGACAGGTGGGCGAGTGATGAGGATGCTGGCTGTTATTCTTCTGGTAGTCGTTTGGTTTCTTGTTGGCTGGACTTCTGCAATAACCCAAAATTTGGAGAGAAACATTCCACTCATTGGCCAGGGGCAGACATCTGACCACTTGATCTTCAACATGTGCCTCATAGACCGCTGGGATTACATGATGGCTGTTGGTATGTTAATTTTCTAGTTTATCTTTAATTTCTAAAATAAAGCTTGGTTGCCTTTTAATTTTTCTTCTTTTAGAATTTCTTAAAGTTTTATCAGACCACCTAATATTATGTGAAAAGCTTCTATGGAAGTAAAATATTGGCATATAAGTTTTTTAAATGGATTGAGAAGTAAAACAATTAAAATATACTGAACTTCTATACCTTTCAAAGGTTTGTAACTTGGATTGTAGTAACAAAGTGATGGGTGCTCAAGACATTTCATCTTTGAAGGCAGAAGGTATCTAGTTCTTCTACTACTGAAGCTCTTCAAAAACTTTTCTGCTATTGCAGTCAGAAATTGTGGCTAGATTAGAGGAGGCTTTTTGTTTTTACGCCACAGAACTGGGCAGATCTCTTGTGTGAGAAGGGAAAGAACTTCCAAGAACACTCCTTCACAGACTTACAAAAATCAGCGTAAAAGTAAAGGAAATAGGAAATGCACATCAAATATGCCAACTTAATGTATTTGTTGGATGTGTTCTCAGTGCATGGAGTAGGCAGGAGCTAAAAAATTACACTCCACAGAACTTACAGAAAGGAGAAAAAATATTTGGTTTTGTTTCCTTAACCCTATAACAACCAGGGGGTTCCCCGTGCCAGGGTTCAGTTAAACAGTGTAATGTGCTTTCTCCCAGTGGCCACACAGCTTCGGTGCTTCCACCTAGAGCCATTTTTTCAAGTACAACCCAAGCTTGGCACGCACTGTTTCAAATACATCAGTGTTCTGAAATCTAAAAAAGATTCTTACCTTACTGCTCTTTTCCCGATTCCCCCATGGACATCCCACTGACAGAGCTCTGCTGCTGAGGATTAGGGAGAGGTAATGGTGGCTCCTCCACATCAGAGTGCAGATGAGATGGCCAGAGGTGGTCTGCAGGTATAAGAAGTGTTTTCTCTGAGAGTGGTGTACCAGAAAGCCAGTGCATGGCAATACACAGAGCAAAACACTGCTGCCAGCCTCATCAAGGTGTGTCCATGGCTCTAAGGTACCCCTGTGCTCTGCTTTTCTCTCCTTTGTGTAAAATCTCAGAGGCAGTGAGACACATGGGTACCCCATCTGTGAATATGCTCACTGGTAAACCACACAGAGAGGAATAGAAGGGGGTATGTTTTGAAATGCATCTTGATCTGGGCCCTTTTGCAGTAATGGAATAGTACTCTTGCCAGAGATGTTTTAAAATTAATAACAAAAGAGAATTAAATGTGAAACGTTTGATAATGTCATTTGCACTAACCCATTTTGGATCAAAATTTTACTGCATTTGACAATGTAGTTTCATTAAAATTTTGATAGTGATGGGTTTTGCATAATGACAAACAAATGTTTTTAGTCTCTGTATTTTATAGTTGTGGTAGTGCAGTGATTAATAATTCAGATCGTAATACCTAATTATGATCAATAGTCCCTTTTTGGTAAGAAAATGCATAAGTTACTGTCTGCATAGTTTTGGAAAAAAAGAAGGATAATTTTTTTAGATATATTTACATTTAGAAGGATTTTAAATGTTTTTCAAAATATACTCAAGGGCAGTAGAGGCAAAGTGAGCTCTCAAGCCTGAATAAATTGGGCAAAATTTCTTATGTTTCTGTCATTTTGTCTTCTTACCCAAATTGCCTCATACACAGAGTTATGCTTGTGCAAGTCTTCAGTAGACTATGCAGTCACATTAGCAGTACCAGGAGATGTACACCTACAAGACTGTACTAATGTGTGTGTCTATATATATTTTTATATGTGTGTGTGTGCATGTGCACTTCAGGATTTTTATTGTTAATAGCAGTGTGAAAAGCTTACAGTCAATAAGAACTACTTCCGAATTTAGATGCTTCATCTCAGAGATGTGTCAGAAGAAATGCCCATAATGCCAAACTTCTTTTATTCCTCTGGTTGACTGGGAGCAGCCTTGCAAAATATACTGTGTGATAAATTAATTGATAGATTATGCTATTTGATTTCAAATGCTAAAATAAAGCTGGTGGATAGCAATTTTTTTAAGACTAGTTATTTCATTTAATATAGTTAGGCACAGTATTTTATATAAAACTAGTGAGTGTTTTGGGATATATTCTGTTACTTGTAGTCCTTGCTGGGATACCTCCCTATTTCACTTGGCTGTCAACACTTCTTTGAAATGCAGAGAGGGAATTTTCAAGGTCGCAGATTAGTGAAGTGAGAATTAACAAGGCTCTGTTAGAAAGTCATAATGAGATGAATCCTTTTTGCTACTAGAGGTTAGTGGAGTTGGGATTTATGAAGCATTTTCCATACTAATCATGCTACTTAGACTCTGGAGACTTTTATTGCAGTGAACATTTTATATTTACATTTCCATTAAGTTTAAGAGGATGCTCTCTGTGAGAGAAGTAGGGACCTAGACATAAAGGTTGTCACCATTTCTAGCATTGCCTCTGTACTCTGATACGCTGATGAGAAAAATTAGCATTCAGTAAATCTTATTTTATCTACATAACATAATGTGGGTTTGCGTGTGTTTTCCTTGGCGTTGGATACTTGTGGGTAGCTTATGTGTTACTTGCCTGGATTCTTTTTATTTCCTTTGTGTTTGTTTCTGCATCACTTTCAAGGTTGAGGCATCTGTCTCATTGACAAGCCATGGCATGGGTGACAGTCTGAGATTGTAGAGAAAGACCTGGGGGCTTGAAAACACTCACCCACAAACTTTTTTCCTATAGCCTGAATGTATACTATACCTGTCACAGTCAGATTCCAAGTTGGAAAAAAAAACAAGTGATAAACTTCTGATAAACGTAAGGGCTTGCAGTGTCACAAATCAAACTATTATTCTTTATCCTGAGGAGAAAGCATTCTGAAAGTGAAACAGATATAGGCACAGGATTTAAAAGAACTTCCCAGAAACTGAAAAAAAAAGACAATAGTAAGTTTAATGAACAAAGCCCCAGGCAGGAGAGAAAGGCAGGCAGAGAGATAAACATGCCTGCACCAGGACAAATAAAAAGCAGAGGTGAAATCTTGGTGGATGGATGTTCCTGACTTCATCAGGGCCAGAGTTTCACCCAGCATGGATAGGATACTTTTTAAAAATCCCCCATGCATTCTGTATGCATTTTTTAGTGTTTTATTTAGATATGAATGACATGTTTTAACTAAGCACAGGGAGGTGTTTTTCCCCAGAACCTCTTTGATTCTTGGCTGACAGGAGCAGTGCTACTCCTGTGTGGCTGGCCTGAGCTGCTGCCATGGCCCACGCATCTGTAGGTCATGCTTTAGGTCTTGGACATCAGGAGGATTTCAAACACAAAGCTTTCTCGTGATTACTGCATGCTCTCAGCCAGGAAAAGGAACAAAGTGAGTATTTCGGACTGTTCCCAAAAGAACTCCCTCCCACTGTTCATTTGCTGATATTTTAACAAATACAATATTTGCAGAGAGGGCAAGAGGTGCCAGGACAGGCTCTGACAGATTGTGCATTAAGACTGCTTGTACAGTTTGGAGCTGGGGCATTGTAATACATCTTTATGAGGCCCTTTATTAAATATTCTACAGCCCCTCTACTGCATTCAGTAAATGAATGATTATTATTTCTTTTTGTTATCCCTATTTGATGTGGCCCTATGCCATATTCAGAGTGTATGGTTCAGAGCATGCAATGAATAAAGAACTGTTCATTTCCAAATGGGCATTTTAAAGCATGTTGTCCTTAGTATTGATGCACAAAGATTAAAGCCAGAATTGTCAACAGTAGCTATCCATTTTAAGTTTCTGTCTTGAGACATTGAGGGACTGTTTTTTCAGAGTACTATTTATAGCCTGTGTGGAAAGCACAACCAGGAGACACCTGTTAGAATTCAACACTGGTGTGGATCACTGTGTGCTTCATCTCTCACATTAGTTGCTCAGAAAATGTATCATGTAAAAATAGTGATCACTTGTGAAAAGCTTACTCTTAAGTGATAAGGCCAGAGATGTATGAAATGTTTGGAGCAGAAATAGGAGAAGAATACTGTTTTACAAAGTGCCTTCAGCTCTGTCTCTTTTCTACTTATAAACCACTTCTGCTACCACGTACACCTCTTCCACAGTCTGCATCACCAACACTGTGTGCAGTTTATGTCACTCATCTCTAGGATATGGTAAATCTGGAAGAGTATGAGGAAGAGCACCAAAGATGGTGAGTGGTGCTGGAATCCCCAGGTTGAGCAGTTTGCATTGCATTACCCCCTGCAGTAATGTTGGTTTTTCTTGTTACATGGTAGATGAATTTCCAGACCCTTTATTTAGTCACAATTTCTACAAAGTATTTCTGCTCAGGAAACCATGTTTGGGTTGCCTTAACTGCATCTTTATATATTGGTAAATGCCATATTTCGCTGCTTTTGCAAGCCACTTGTGGGAAGAGATGGCTTTGAGAGAGGCTGGAAGATGCTCTGACTTCCTTTGCACCACCCCTATTGGAATCCACTACCTGTACTACTCCAAGTCTTTCCAGTGCTTCAAGTACTTTGGACACCACTGGCATTTGCTTGCATTCCCTTTAAGATGTGAGATAAAAGGCCCCACACTCAGCCAGTTTTCAGCTGCTAGTGGTAGATTTTTCTGATCCTGTTCTTCCTCTTTCATCCACACCCAAGTGAAGAGGATGATGGGGCACATGGAGACAGGAAGAGTGGCTTGCTGACTTTAATAACAACAGTGAGCTATGGAAGGAATAAGGCAGGACAGCACATCTGTGTAGAAGAATTTAAAAAGTGCTTTAGTATAAGGGCTAAGAGAAAAGAGGGGAGTTCCTAGGGATTTTAAACCTGAGCACTGGCATATGTTTAGTGCAGTGAGACTCCTAGGCATGTTGCTCACACTCAAGTCAGTGGATATTTTTCCACTGCTAGCAAAAGCCATCTCTAGGGCACCCTCCAGCCATGGGACCCACAGACTGTGGATTAGCATGTCCCTTGCATTGCTTTAAGTGCGCCTGCAAGGCAGT